ATTATAATTGATGATATTCTGACTTGATTAATCTGATCTGATTAATCTGATTAATCTGACTTGATTAATCACGATGATGTAACCTATGAACACACCTCTGTTTCATCACACATGGCTCTACTGTTGACCACATGAGGAAAATTTGATGTCCTATGAATATTGCAAAATTTAAATTAAATTGATCCAAGATAGATTTAATCTAATATATTTTAAACCTACTCCTGGTATGAAATGGACTCTTTATTTTGTAGCTGTATATTTTTACTTATTTAACACAGTAAATGTACACATTCTACAAAACTATATCTAATAATTGCTAAAAACATGACAGAACTGTTCATTTCAAAGGTTTATTATATCCAGATGTGTTTAGAACATGTGGAGTTTCTGTGTTTATAAGACATGATTTAAAKAGATTTTAAATGTAGACTTGTTGTGTAGAACATCTAACAATCCTCCTGAGTCGAGCTGCTGAAACAAACAGTTTGGAGTCAACCTGTCATCAGGAGCTTCACTTCTCATACTGTTGAAGTAACAGAAAGTAAAAACATTTTATTCTTATAGTTCAACTTTCATCTCATCTGGTACATTTTAACTTCCTTTTCCTGTGAATTGTTCTTAGGTTGAAAGATTTAAAATGCATAATTATTAGTTGATAAATATTTTAATAACTTTAACTTTTTTCTTGTGGTTTCCACGTGACCTTTTTAACTTCCWGCTGTAATACTTGTCGTCTTTTACAAAACAAAAGTAGACGCATCATGGCCTCTCTGTGTTTTCATATATTAGACTGTTGAGAAGTTCTTCAGTAAGGAAATCCGTTACCTGGTATCCAACAAGCAGGAGGCAAAGTATGCAGCCTGCTTCAGACAGGACTCTCTGGTCCCCAGTCCGGACTCTGGACCCAGTTCTCCTCAGCCTGGCTCCAGGCTCCAGCATGTGGACAACATCAGGAACGCCTCTCAAGACCAGGCAGAMACAGTTAGTTCAAATATACCTCTGTAATTTGATAATTATCTGTTTTTTATGTTGAACAGATCAAACAATTCCTGCTTTTAGATGATTTCCTGTAATTAACTCTTTGTTTTCCTCTTGCTGTTGGACAGTTGGTGAAGAGTCAAGGCCGGTCGTTGGTGGACAGAGTAGTGAGGGAGCAGGTTTGTCTCGTCACTGAGGAGGTTCATTTAACATCTTTATGTCTTTGTTGTGTTAATATTCTCTTGTTGTTTTAGGGGAGGATCCAGATGGACAGAATATTGTCTAAAGCCTTGGAGTGGGGTGTTAAAATCCTCTACATTGATGGTCGGTTCCACTGTTGTACATTTTCTCTGAGTGTGAAATAAATAATGATGAATATTCAGGAGCTTCTTTCTTTGCTTTAACTTCAGATGTATTAGCATACGTTCAGAGGAAGAAGAAACTTTTTAACAGCCAGGTTTTAGCCACTGCTGCTGTCAAAACAAGTGTAAGTTAAAAAAAACAACAACAGTTTTTGTTTGCACAGATTTACAAGTTTAACTTTGCAGATGTTTTTCTGTCTTTTGTTCAAGGTGAAAACTGAGTCATCAGCAAAGAAAGACTGGCAGAAAGGAAAAGGTCAGTAAGTCACACAACGAGGAATGATTTTAAACTCATCGAGCCTTTATTTAAAGTTTAAATGTTCATCACCTCTGCTGCTGTTAGCTGTGTATGCTCAGCTTGTGTTGTTTTTAGCTGTGTACACTCAGCTTGTGTTGTTTTTAGCTGTGTACACTCAGCTTGTGTTGTTTTTAGCTGTGTACACTCAGGTTGTGTTGTTTTTAGCTGTGTACACTCAGCTTGTGTTGGTTTTAGCTGTGTACACTCAGGTTGTGTTGTTTTTAGCTGTGTACGCTCAGCTTGTGTTGTTTTTAGCTGTGTACACTCAGCTTGTGTTGTTTTTAGCTGTGTACGCTCAGCTTGTGTTGTTTTTAGCTGTGTACGCTCATGTTGTGTTGTTTTTAACTGTGTACACTCATGTTGTGTTGTTTTTCAGCAGGGCGGATCAGTAAACCCTTTGTGAAGGTCGAGGATTCAAGCAGGTAAAAGTGGATTAAAAAGAACCTGGTTTGTTTTCTGTCCTAAATGTTCTGACAGTAAATAATGTCTGTTCTCTTGTTCTGACAGTAAATAATGTCTGTTGTCTTGTTCTGACAGTAAATAATGTCTTGTTCTCTTGTTCTGACAGTAAATAATGTCTGTTCTCTTGTTCTGACAGTAAATAATGTCTGTTCTCTTGTTCTGACAGTAAATAATGTCTGTTCTCTTGTTCTGACAGTAAATAATGTCTGTTCTCTTGTTCTGACAGTAAATAATGTCTGTTGTCTTGTCAGACACTATTGTCCACTCTACCTGAGCATGTCAAACATGCCTCAGTTCAACCTGAAGGCAGCTGCTCCCTGTTGTCCCTTCTGTCAGGAGGACAAAGGTCCTTCAGGGTCCAAACATCGAGCTCACAGGTATTCTCCAGTTCAGCTTGTGAACTTTGTAAAATCAACATATTTTAAATGCATGAACCTCAACGTGTTGTTTGTTTAACAAACTTAGTTTTTTCTCTCTTACAGCAGGTAAAATAAATATTGAACACGTCACCATTTTTCTCAGTAAATATATTACTAGAGGTGCTAATGAC